CAGCCAGGTGAAGCCACTGGAGAGCCTGCAGCCGTTCTGACAGCCAGCAGAGGGCCAACCCAAATGAAACCGTCTGGTTTGCCGGGTCTGTCAGTAGAACATGTTGGGGACTCACAGGGCCGGGCAGAGGTCCTGCTTGTTGGTATTTCTTCAGATCAATCCCTGTTGTCATGGCAGCGAAAGCAAAGGACGTGTCTTTGGTGATAAAACAGCGACAGGCTGAGCGGTTTTGGTGGAACAAACACTGGTATTCATATGGATAATAAATGAACAACCACAGAGGTCTGGGAGCTGCCTTGCTGTCCAGTCTGGATCCCTCTCAGTGCGATAGGTTGCTGCTCAGAGGCTCATGCTGTCGGAGAACGGAGGGGAAAGACACTGGCAGGCGTATAATCACATCCTCCATCCAATGAGTCCGACCAATCAGAAACAAACCTGCTTCTCCCTTCATCTGTTGGCTCAGGAAACACTTTAACGGGTTTAGTTAGTTTCAGGTCTCTGAATGCAGCACGATGCTCATTGGTCCGCTTGTGGTCCCATCTGGAGTAAAGCTGACGGTGAAGCAGGGCGTCTTCAGCATCCGCTTGGACGGTGGTGACGGCCAAATGCCAAACTAGTGGTCAGCCAACCTGTGAGTGCCAGAACGCCTCCCATGTCCATCTTAATACACACTTCTAACAGTGCAGTGAAACAAACACTTAACTTGTTTTAACGCAGCTAATGCTAATGTGTAATGCTAACCCCACAGCTATCATCTACCTGCTGTCATACAGGCTTCATGGTGGCTCGTTAACACACTGAGCACACGACGACAAGTCCTCATAGACAAGTGTCTCGACTCGGCAGCCATCCAGGTAACAACACAGNTTCTCCTGTAACTCCTGACCCAAGAACTGAACCACGTCATGTCTCCAGAGTCAGGCTGCTGTTAGACTCCTCTGAATGTGAGGCCATAGCTGTACCTGGTTGAGCAGTGGGGCTGGTCTCATGTGGTCTAGTGCGGGACAGACACGGGACACCACCTCTCTGTGAATGCTGAGCTGAGCCTGTGATCTCTAAGGACCTCTGCCTCTCCAAACAGATCTCTGCTACGATCACACTGTCCTACAGAAGCCTTACAGGTCTGAGTCAGAGATCATCGAGGGACAGAATGAGAAATGAGTTCACATTTGGAGACATGTTTAATTAAATGTGTAAGGAGGTAAATAAATAATCAAGATGTTTCCTCAGCAACAATTCAATTAAATGTATATACAGGATATGCTTTGTGCAAAAACATGGATTTAAAAGACGTAAGCTGACAGTTTCAAGGCACATACAAACTGTGTAACCATGATGTTGTTCTTGCTGAATGAAGAGAAGGAGCTGGTTCCTAATGGGTTAAAGATGGCAGATGTGCTTTTTGCTGCTCAGCTCTGTGATACCGACCACCAAACACAGCTAGTGCTAACAACATGACACCTCAGCTGTGATCACATGTTCATCTTGAAAACCAAACAGGTGAGAGCTCTGTGGCCTGCTGCTGCCTGTGTGGCCTTTAAACGTCCTGGTAATGCCAACACATAAAAACGTGTTCTATGTGTTGAACCAAAATGCATCTCTGTTGAGTGCAGCTGTAATTAAACAAATGTTCCTCATCAGTGGGAGAGCCGCTGATAACAGTCAGAGTCTAGCTGACTGCATGGCGTCCAGGAAAGTGTGCCCTCTAGTGGTGAGCGTGGCTGATCGTGTGTCACTTTTCCCTCTCCCTGTTCTCATCATTCCTACTTCATGCTGCATCTACAGGATCTGTTATGGTCACAGTATACGAGGAAATCTTTCAGTTTTACTGAAGAACTAAACAGAACGCAGCCTTCATACTGATCCTGATCGTACATGTTCACAGAACTGAAACAGCAAAACTCCAGAAACTAATGACTTTTAAATCCAGTGTTGTTGTATAAAAGATATCATCCAGCCAGTTGTATAAAGTACATTTCCTGAAGACACAGGGTCCAGACAGTATGAACACTGTACACGGTTCAGTACAGAGCGGCTGTCTGTCAGTAAAAAGGCTTCTGATGCGTTCAAACCGTCACGTGTGACAAAAGTCTGCGTCTTGAACATTGTTCTTGCAGCAGACTGTGCTGTTGCTCCCCAGGGGGCAGTCTCGGAAGCCAATGCCCCCATTAGGGGTGTAAATAGGCTGAATGTGAAAATCTCCCTTGAGGAGCTGCTCATTATTGAGCGAAACTATCTGGAAGCTGGTTTCAGTCATTTCCAGGATGGAATTATCTTTCTTGGTGCCGGCCTCACAGTAGTCGTCTTTTCTGCGTCCCCGGTTGTATTTCCACTTGGCGGAGAACTTTGAGCGGCTTTTCTTGTGCATTTGCCAGCAGAAGATACCGACCAGTACGACCAGCACCACGACCACAGCCCCACCAATCAGCCCCGCCAGCAGCAAAGGTGAACCGGGTTCTGGCTGGGTGGCCTGCTCGGGCCCGGACTGTCTTTTGTTGTTGTTGTCAGGGCTGAAGGAGGCGGGCGTGGTCACGGCCTCAGTGCACACAGTGTCATCTTTGGGTCTGTAGTTATTGAAAGCATCCAAAGGAATGACACAGATACGATAGGTGGACTTTGGCTGGAGGTTAGCCAGCCGTGTACCCCGGTGATCCCCACCCACCATCCTCTCCCGTACCGTGTCCCCCGTCAGACTGGGGCCCATTCTGGCCCAGGTCACCTTGTAGGCAGTGACTGGAAACGCAGCCACCCAGCTCACATGGATGGCTGAACCATTTAGAATGGCAAATGAGACCTGCAGAGTCTCCTTTCGGGGGTCCAGAGGCTGCTTAGTCCTTGTTCCTCTTCCTCGTGTGGTATAGATGGGGTAGAGGGTGGGTAGCGTGGGCAAAGGTTGGCGAGACGGGGGCGGGACATACTGAGTGACTGACGGGGAATCCGTGGAAGAGGACAGGAGTGGGGTGAGAGCGCTGTCAGCTGGTGAGGGAAGCTCCAGGGCCGTGGCTGTGCTCGGTGGGCACTGGACCAGCTCAGCACTCAGTTCCCGGATCACCATGCCCCGGAACTTCTCGGGTTTGTGGCACATGAAGCCTCGCACATTGAGCGAGGCAGGCAGAGACTTGAGCCATGAAACCACCCATCTGATGCTGCAGTCACAAAGCCAAAGGTTGTTCCGAACAGTGAGCTGTCTGAGACTCGCGAGGCCGTCAAAGACCCCTCGTGTCAACGACTGCAGCTGGTTGTTGGAAATATCCAGCCGCTCCAGCTTGTGCAACCCTGCAAAGGCTCTGACAGGGATCTGGTGCATCTGATTTTCCTGAAAGTTTAATTTAACAAGCACCTCTCCAGGGAGGAAGGGGGGAGGGTAGGTGAGTGAGTTGCGGGCCAGGGACAGCTCCCTTAGTGTGACCAGGTCCTGGAAGGTCCCTGGTGAGATCCCTTCATCTGTTAACAGGTTTCCATCCAACAGGAGGCGCTCCAGACGGGTGACGTTTTTGAACGCTTCTTCTGCAATAACCGCAATCCGATTCTCATCCAAGCGCAGTTCTTTTAGATCATCTGGGAGACCAATAGGGACGCTGCTGAGGTGGTTTTTGGTGAGGAAAAGCATCTTCAAGCTCACCGCCTCACGGAAGGCCCCCTCCTCCACCCCGACAGTAGAGATGGAATTATCATCCAAATGCAGCTCCTCCAGCCACAGAAGCTGAGCCAGAGCCACTCTGGAGATGGTCTGAATGTTGTTCTCTTGTAGATGGAGGACCTTAACATTTTTGGGCAGGTTGATTGGAAACTCGTCCAGTTGGTTCCCGTAGAGGTACACCGTCTCCACAGAAGACACATGGTGGAGCTCCAAGGGAAAGCCAGCATTATTGATTTGGTTGTTGTGGAGGTAGAGGGTCTTATAACCCTCACAAATTCCCAGAGGCACTGAAGTCAGGCTCCGCTCATTGCAATAAACAAAGGTGCGATCGCAGCGGCACTCTTCAGGACAGTCGGAGGCCCTGGAGAGCTGGAGGTGAAGCCCAAGCAGTAAAGGTATCCATGGCCTGATGAAGGAGTCCTTATTCCATAAACGCCACTGTATCTCCATTTCAAGCAGAGCAGAAAAAGTAAAAATCAAAGAAAGAAATTAAAAGAAATACAGAGGACTCCCTGAACAACACCACTAAGTCCAGTCTGGTGCTGCACAAGGTCTTGGGTAATCCCTTAGCTTCTCACCAGAAGAGCAATGGTCTCATGAAGCTGTTTACTCCATCACCAGCCACTGTCCAGAACCGAGCTGGGAGACATTAGTGAAGATCACCACATGTTGATCCTCTGTTCTCGTCCACCACTGGGCAGAGCTGACGGTGCCATGGACACACCGGAGTCCTGATCTGCTTCCTGTCCTCTTCACGTCACACACTGCTGGTCCCAGAACAACACAACCTGTCTCAGGCTCGACATGAGGAACAAGTGACCTGTTGCAAAATAAGAATAATGGAAAGTCAGTCTGTCTGTCCTTGAAATGCACGCCTTCCATCAGAACACAGGGTTTCTTCCCCTTTCTATCCCACATATGCAAAGTGAGGCAATCTAAATTGGGAGAGCAGAGCGGTGTGCATACGAATGACCTACAGATTTATGACATGTTCCTCAGACAGCTCGATTCGATGAGGTCCATCTACAGGCCACAAACATGAGCCCTGATCTGAAAACACACACCAGGTGGATTGTCAAGCTGTCAATATGAACAGACTATTTTGTTTTTTTAAAGTGCCAAATTAGTTTTCAAAACGACTGAACACATTTAAACAGGCGGTCCAAACCCTAACCCTTTTCTGAGCCGTGGGGTGTGCAGTGAGCTACTCATGAACCTGTTAGTCTGGTCTTGAAGGACTGTGTCCAGCTTTAACAGGAGGTTTATCATCCAGAGGGTAGAAAGCAGGCGTCAGATAATGCTGAAGGTATCACAGAGAACGAGATACAATGCCAAATATTTGCTCCTAACTGTTGCTAAATTAGACATTAGCGCATTCCTCTCTGCCCTCAGTTCATTAGGTTTAGCTGTGCCTGAGGAGTGCTGGGTGGTGATGAACGCAGCCTGTCAGCACAGATAAGACGAGACAAATTCCTGCAGGGACGAAACTAAGATCGATGTGGGCCTCTCTCAGCGAGGAAGGTGCTGCTGTGGGTACAAGGTCATACGCTTTAAATAAAGTGGAGAGAGTTCCTAGTTGACAGCATCTGTTGGCTATTAGTTGGCACACCAGAGCCTCATTACTTAGCTAAGATCAGGACAAATACCAACACATCCCTGTATGCTGCAGCACCTATGAGCACACGATCCAGTCCAGTCCTGCAGAGCGGCTGGTACTATCAGTGGCTGTAAGCTGCTGGGACTGATGATTGATAAAACAGCAGCAGCCTGTTGACAGATTGCATTGATTTCTGGCCAAGGCGGCTCAGTACTTATGTAACGCTGCTTGGGGTGGGGAGTGGGGGGCAAACAAGGCGTCAGGCTGGGTCCAGTTACAGTGACCCGACCTCATCAGAGGGTCTCCAGCATCAAACCACATCCAGGAAATAAACTCATTCATGTCCCCCTCCAAGAGCGAG